CTACCAATTATAGAATGGTGAAACATGAAACTTTGTGGTCTGAAAAACTTTTTATTCTGAAAACTACTGAATGATTAAGCAAGTTTTGCTAAGCTTTATATCAATATATTAAAGCAAAGAAAGAATTTGAGTCTTTTCTGTTAATTCTGTTGCGTATTGTCTCCTTCTCTACTGAATCTATATCACATTGTTTGGTCCTCTGCAACTGTGAAAAAAAAACTACACTTCAATGAAGACTAGGAAAGCCAAAACTTAGAAGAAAGGTTTTGAGTTTAAAAACAATTTTTTTACTCCACCGGAATAAAGGTTTTGAAGGAGAAAAATGATTAGTGAAGCTTATGCTAAGGAGATAAAATTTAAGGTGATTTCAATTAATACAGTTCAATCTTACATTTGGTGAACTTACAAATCCCTAGGACATCACTTTTCAATGACTGTAAAAGACATACAGTTTCAAGCTCTTAGGATAACATGAATACACTTACCCAGCAAGAGGATGAATTACCACTGATCGTGGGTTATTTAAATACTGAACTACTGTTCGTCTCATTTTATCAGCTAGTCCCATGACACTGATACTCTTGTAATGAGAGTCTGTCCAATAGAGATTCTTTGAAATCCAATCGAAAGCCAAACTTTCAACATTTTCCACCCTGTTAGCTGCGAGAATTTCTCTTCCTATAATTTAAAATATGGACATGTTTTAATCAATTTTCCTACTAATGCATATTGAAATTTTGTGTCAGAGTTAGAGCGTATTTCAGGAATATATGTGGAATTCTTTTTTTTAAAAAAAAAAAAAAAAAAACAACTCTGTAAGCTGCTGAGCAATAACATGAGATAAACCCAGAATCTATCCATTCCTCAGACTTTGGATCGCAAAGAATAGATATGATACTGACAAACAGAACCAGGAATGGCATGGCCTGGATATACTCCCATGTTCAATCTTCCAGAAAAAATTTCTCACTGCAGAACATCTGAAGAAGAGATACCTGAGTCCACCTACTACCACCCGGAGGCGGCTCTGATAAGCTGACACCACTAGGTACGACCTGAGGGTAACCCTGAGGTGTCACCGCCCAGCCAGCTCATCAACAGTCTTCCACAGCCACAAAGTTGCCAAGTTTGGGAAAAGGCCAGCAGAGATACCAGAAAGGAAATCAGAACTGAGGTTTTTTTTAAAAAAACACTTTCCTCTTTATGTAGTTGTTATGCCTTCTCTTCTCCCTCTTTTTTCTTTTTTTCACTAAAGAAAATCTGAATCAGAATAAACAGCCGTACCTCTTTCTTTGCAGTAGAAAGAAAAAAAATCCTACTGCTTTTTCTATTCATTTATTCAGCAAATTGTGAAAAGAAAGTTCTCTATGTGATAGACAATTGACTAGATATTTAGAAAACACAGTACTGCTAATAGTGATAATAATCACAGCTTAGATTAAATGTGCACTTACTATGAGGCAGAAACTGGACTAAGTACTCTACATGGATACATCCATCATCACAGCCACTCAATCAAGTAGGCCTTAGTACCTTTCCTATTCTATAGATGAGGGAACCAAGCCAAAGGGAAGTGAAGCATCTGAAAAGAAGTATGGACACCACCCTCAAGGTAATTCATAGTGAGGTGGTGAAAGAGGAGGAGGCAACTAGGCAAACAGACAAAAATAAAAGCGTAATGGGTGCTGAGATGGAGGGGTGCATAGGATGGTCTGAGAGCACTGACTCCTAATGGACCACATGGCAAGGCGGAGGTCTGGGGTGGTTGACAGAGACAGACTGAAAACTCCACATGTTCTAGGAGCATGGCTGGAGGTTAATGAGTCAATGATAGAGGCTAAAGGAGAGGGAGATGTTGATGATGACCACCAGGTGGGGATGAGGCACCAAGGAAGGGGTGAGTGGTCATGCCCTTCCTCTAAGGCCTGTGAGAAGCTGGATGAAGTATCCACTTGGCTTAGATGTGATTGTAGGATATCCAGGTGAGTTATCCAAAAGGCAGCTGGCACTGTGGGTCTGAACCTCAGAGAGAGAACTTGCATAGAGATTTTATCATGATCTACAAGAAGGCTTCCTTGGTCTTTCCCTATTCCCCAGGTTAGGAGGAAAAACACTCAGTAAATGCACTATATCAAAGTCTCCCCACAATTATTTAGTTGCTACACAGATGGTAATCAAAGGCATGAAAGGTATGAAATTATTCAGAGAGAGGAAGACCAATGTTGAACACCAGATTTACAGTTTTTTGTAGAACAGGCAAAGGAGAAAGATCTCCAGGGTACACTAGAAAAAAAATGATTAAGAAATAGAAGTAAATCCAGGAATGTGCTGTCATGGAAGAAAAAATTTTTTTTTTTTTTTTTTTTTTTTTTTGAGACAAGAGCCTCACTCTGTGGCCAGGCTGGAGTGCAGTGGCATGATCTCAGCTCACAGCAACCTCCGCCTCCTGGGTTCAAGCAATTCTCCTGCCTCAGCCTCCTGAGCAACTGGGACTACAGGCATGTGCCACCACGCCCAGCTAAATTTTGTATTTTTAGTAGAGACAGGGTTTCACCATGTTGGCCAGGATGGTCTTGATCTCTTGACCTCGGCCTTCCAAAGTGCTGGGATTACAGGTGTGAGCCATCGCGCCCAGCCAGAAAGAATTTTTGAGAGAAGATGGCCAAATACAGATACCAAATACAGGACTGAAAGGCATTATTTAGTTTAACAAGAAGAGATTGGAGGTGACCAGGATGAGAGGGGTTTCAGTCACCTGGTGGGCAGATTGCAAGAGGTGAGGAATCAATGAGAAATGTGGAAGAGGGGATAGGAAAGTGCAAATCAGTCTTTCAAGAAACTTGACCATGAAATGTGAAGGGGTTATCACTAAGGAGGAACATGCAGTGAAGGGTAAGTTGCATATTTTTTAGGATGGGAGCAACTTGAGCTTATCTGATGATAGGGAAAAGTCCGTAGAAAAAGAAAATTTAGAAAAGAGAAGGGATCATTGATGGAGGGAGTTCTCCCGAGGGTTTCACTAAGCTAATCTTGACTTTTAATGTGTTTTTTCTTTTTCTTTAGAGACAGGTGTCCCCTAGGCTGGAGTGCAGTGGCACATTCATAGCTCACTGTAGCCTAGAACTCCTGACCTCAAATAATCCTCCCAAGTATCTGGCACTATAGACACACCATTGCATTGGCTAATGTGATTTCTGACAACTCATTTCCTGCATATACTGTGTACACATTCAAAAAAAAAAAAAAAGAAGAACAATATAATGCCTCCCTCACCAAAGTATAGAGAGTTTAACCAATGACTATGAAGAATATTTTAAAGGGTAGCTTGCTCAGCATATGGACTTGAAGTTTACCAAAAATACGATGAGAATTCCAGATCAACAAAACAAAAAGACGCTGACCTGTGGAGGTGCCAATGGGAGACTGGAGCTGTGTGCAGCTGAGAAAGCCAGTACTACCTTTTGCTGAGAACCAAGCTCGACTGCAGTTCTCCAAGCTCAGTGGGCCTGATTCAATCCTCAACAAAGATAATTTCGGGTTCAAAATAGCAGATCGACCAACCAAACTTGTTTATCTCCTCTTCCTTCCAAACGCAACTTAAAAGACGGTAAAAGGACAGCAGATGAGCAATTCCAGCAAAGGTTTGAAAAGTAAGTTATCGGAGGAATGATAACTCAATCAAGAAGGGGAAAATGCTACAAACTAAGTGTCCACAGAAGACAGACACACACACACACATGCAGAAGCCTCAGTGCACTCACACTCAGAGACACTAGGTCCCAAGAAAGGCAGGGGTAAGGAACTAAGGGGCTCAGATAAAGTCAGGATAAGGAGCAGTCCAATGCCCAGGTCCCTCCCAGATCCTGAGTATCACACCACTTCTCTATCTCCCGTAAGGGACCAGAGATTTTCTTCTCTGGAGGAGCTGAAGCAGAATGGCTGTGGGTTCGGGGCACCGTGCTCAATGGAAAACTGAGGTGGACATGGAACTGAGTACAGGAGGATTACAGGAATACTGGAAGGGCGCCCTCAGCTCCCTTTCCTCTGTCCACTCCCTGAACACAGACCACCATCTCCCCACATCTTCCCCTTACTCACAAGCTGACAAGGCCTATCCACACATAGAGACTTTCTGGTCAAGTTTTATAACCTCCCACTTAATACCAAACTAGCATCACAGACATTTGGAGAACGCTTCCATCACAAAGAAGAAAGCTGAAAAGAAATCAAAAGGAAGAAGGAATCCAGAGAAAATGGAAACAGAGGAAGATTAATTTTTAATGTCATATCCATATTCACATCAAGGTCATATTCATAGAAATGGTATTCAGAATGGCACTGGACTCAACACTGGGTGTTAGAGGTCACTGGAGCAATGTCTTCAAATTCCAGATTTAAATTAACTTGCAACCTATACCCAGCCAAACAGTCAAGATGGAGAGCAAAATAAACACAGACAATCAAAGACTCAAAATATATGCCATCTGCTCATCCTTGTCAGGAAGCTTCTATATAGTGTGTTTCAGCAAAATGAGGAAATGAATCTAGAAAAAGAAATAAATGGCCTGCCACAAACAGCAGATATAGTACAAGGGAGAAGCAAAGAGAAGTCAGAAAACAAGAGCTGTGTGCCAGGCCAGAGAAAAACCAGTCCCAGCTGGAACAGTGAGAGAGGCTCCAGAAGGAAAAATATATAGATAGAGAGATTGCTTTCTATCTTGTACAGGCATTTGATAGAGCTATTGGGGAATTTGGGGAAAACATATTATTGATATATTAAAAAAACTAAACAAATGAAGATGGGGCAATTCTCAAAAATTGTCAGGAAATGTCATCCTAGAATACTAACTGGCTAAGCAGTGACTAATATTTATATTTATATTATATTAGCAATATAAACACATAGTATTAACCAAAAATTACAATCTAGCTTTTTAAGGAGAATAGGGGGAGGGATGTCAGAAGCTGGGAGAGAAGAATGATGTAAGAAACCAAAATGCGGGGGCCGTACGATGGCGGAGAAGACTCAAAAGAGTGTGAAGATTGCTCCTGGAGCTGTTGTATGTGTAGAAAGTGAGATCAGAGGAGATATAACTATCGGACCTCGGACAGTGGTCCACCCTAAAGCACGAATTATTGCGGAAGCCGGGCCAATAGTGATTGGCGAAGGGAACCTGATAGAAGAACAGGCCCTTATCATAAATGCTTACCCGGATAATATCACTCCTGACACTGAAGATCCAGAACCAAAACCTATGATCATTGGCACCAATAATGTGTTTGAAGTTGGCTGTTATTCCCAAGCCATGAAGATGGGAGATAATAATGTCATTGAATCAAAAGCATATGTAGGGAGAAATGTAATACTGACAAGTGGCTGCATCATTGGGGCTTGTTGCAACCTAAATACTTTTGAAGTCATCCCTGAGAATACAGTGATCTATGGTGCAGACTGCCTTCGTCGGGTGCAGACTGAGCGACCACAGCCCCAGACACTACAGCTGGATTTCTTGATGAAAATCTTGCCAAATTACCATCACCTAAAGAAGACTATGAAAGGAAGCTCAACTCCAGTAAAGAACTAAGAACAGTAGATGACATGAAGATAACATTTTTGTCTTTGACCACTGTCTTTTGAATGGGCCACAGTGTTTATGTACTCTTAGCAACTCACAGGATAATACATGTTGACTTTATTTTGTAAAATTGGGTTGAGAGGAAAGTAATGGATTTTCATTGTAACTGTCCTTTATAATTTATATAAAATGTATTATTTTCCTATATCCTTGCTTCTTTTCTGATAATTTACAGATTTAGCTTTTCTTTTGTTATGTAAACTGCTGGCCACAAATTTTAGTTATGTAAAAGACTACCCATGACAAGAAAGGACATATTGTTATGTATTTATATTCTAGCATAGACTAAACTGAATAAAAATGCTGATAACAAAAAAAAAAAAAAAAAAAAAAGAAACCAAAATGCTCACCTAGAACAAGGAAGTAAATATCAAAAATGATAAATCAAGAAAGAGTCGTATAAACAAAATATTTAGAAACATGGAGACAAACAAAAGAAGAAACGCTCAAGAGTTGTTCCCAAGGCTGGGCGCGGTGGCTCACGCCTGTAATCCCAGCACTGTGGGAGGCCGAGGCGGGTGGATCATGAGGTCAAGAGATCGAGACCATCCTGGTCAACATGGTGAAACTCCGTCTCTACTAAAAATACAAAAAATCAGCTGGGCATGGTGGCGCGTGCCTGTAATCCCAGCTACTCAGGAGGCTGAGGCAGGAGAATTGCCTGAACCCAGGAGGCGGAGGTTGCGGTGAGCCGAGATCGCGCCATTGCACTCCAGCCTGGGAAACAAGAGCAAAACCCCATCCCAAAAAAAAAAAAAAAAAAAAAAAAAAAAAGAGTTGTTCCCTCCACAGAGCACGTCTGGACTGGCAGCAGGGTAGGGTGGGGAAATACGGTTTTATATTGATAACAGATATAATGATATCCAACATTTACTGAATATTTACTATTTTCTAGTCATATACTCTAGGTGCTTTACATGTATGAGCCTAAAATTCTCTCAACAACCTTATGAGCAACGTATGACCTGCATATTTAGAAAACTGAGGCATAAGGAAACTGGGTAACTTCCCCAAGGTTACAAAGCTAGGAAATGTGGGAAGTTGGGATTCAGAATCAGGCAGTGCAGCTCCTAAGCTGGCCCTCTTAGTTGGTATGTTACATTGCTTACAAATTTTATTACTGTTACAAGCTGAACCATTGGCATTTAAATAGTCCAGCATCCCTAAAGAGATGTCTTCCCCTTTAATCAATCTGGCTGCTTGAGTATTAAAAACAGTTTCTAATAAATTAATCCGTTAATGGTTTCATACACTTGACATTCCTTTTATGTTAATATTGGTCATTGTTGAAATACACACATGTTCGTAACACGTTTGTTTTTTTTTTTTTTTTTTTCCGAGATAGGGTTGCACTCTCCTGCCTAAGCTGGAGTGCAATGGTATGGTCATAGCTCACCGCAGCTTGGAACTCCTGAGCTCAAGAAATCCTTCCACTGCAAACTCCCAAGTAGTGGGGACTACAGGTACATGTTACCATGTCTAGCTAATTTTTTTCTTTTTTTGGTACAAATGGGATCTCACTATGCTGTCCAGGCTGGTCTCAAACTCCTGGCCTCTAGTGATCCTCCCATCTCGGTTCATAAAGATAACTTGTTTCTAAAATGAAGGAAAGGTGTTTGTTTTACCTTAATCCATAAAAAAGCAATAGATTTATTTTCTCAATCTAAAACGATTTAGGAAGCTTAGTAAAGACTGCTTAAGAAGTAGATACCAAGTTTTAATTATCAAGTTATTAGTATCACTGCAATAAACAGGCAAAACATCCACACACACACACACAAGCTTTTCTCACCTGTGCCATCAATCTTTTGTTTAAAAATCATGTGTTTTGACATATCTGAAAAAAAGATAGTGCTTTCCTTGGCATCAAAATCAATCCCAACAAAGAAAGAAGGATTCCCTGAAACTGGAACCATGACATCTTCCTGGGTAGACAAGGTGAACGGGATCCCACGAACAGCAAGTTGGGATGAAAAGATGAGGAAATTCTGAATAGCTGCAGGAAAAGGAACACAGAACAGTCAGCCAGGGCATGGTTCTTGCCCCTCCTCCCAAATTCCAGATAAATGCATCCATAGAGCAAACATTAAATCATAAAATATAACTCTGAAATAAATATAAATTTGTGGAAAACACAGAAATAAGAGAAGGGGAAAAAAAAGGTAACCAACTATGAGGGTGATACAAGTATTAAATTTTCCTTCTTCCCTAAAAAGTATCCTTAAAATTTATTCATATGAAAAATGATATCCATATGCTTAATTTATAAAATAGTATTAGCTGAACTCTATAGTAATTCCATAATAATCCTCAAGTTGGATTAACTTTTGCATAGAGATCTATGCCAAGAACCTCACTGTAGATACCAAGATAATTAACAGTAACCAGAAATATAAAGAAATAAAGGAGTAAAAGAAGGGAAGGAAGGAGAGGGATAAAGGACACAGGTAAGAAGAAGTGCTGTTTAAAATCAAAGATTGTGACAGTATGTCAGGAAATCAAGAAGATGAAGGAGGTGTGCCCAAGACACAGATAAAAATTGCAGGAACGGAATTTAAAAGCAAAATTATTAGGCAACCCACTAATGATAAAATAGCTATAAATACACGGGTTTTTTTTAATGAGGATGATTTTTCTGAATCTAGGACTAGCTAAGAAGTTAACACATTTGTCTGAGTTAGAATAAGGGAACTTATATACTGCGCTAGAAACAGCAGCATCTGGAGAGCAAGAATTTGTCACAGGCACAGAAAGGAGAGTTGTAGGAGTGAAAATAAGGAAAACAAATATTGTAGGAGTGCATCTCATCATCAGCTGGGGCCCAGGCAATGGCTTAAGTATGAATAGATGTGTAGGAAACCAAAGAGGAAGATATTCTTACCTTCAAAGTAAGAATAAAATCAGGTATATGGAGGCAGATACAAGAAAGTTTAAACTGAAAGGTGAAACCATACGTGAGGAACTGAGTCACTCCAATGTTCAGGAGTTTACTTTGGAATACAGGAAAAAAAAAAAAAGAAAAAGCAGATTAGATTCAGATGTGATTACCTGATTGAAAGGGGCATAAGTGGTGGTCTAGGAGGAGTCAAAGTGGGGAGAAGTGCAGTACTTCCCACCAAAGTTAAGGCTAATATCTAAAGTAGAAAAGGTATACATAGTATAGAAAAGAGCTCAAAGTCAATAGGATCTGTCATCAGATAGGATTAAAATAAAAAAAAAGAAAAGAGCTCAAAGTTTAATCAAATAGAATTTCAAAATCATAGTTAATAGGAGAAAAATGCTTCAAGAAACAAAGGGAAAAGGCCCAGCACTTTGGGAGATCGAGGTCGGCAGATCACGAGGTCAAGAAATTGAGACTATCTTGGCCAATATGATGAAACCCCATCTCTACTAAAAATACAAAAAAAATTAGCTGGGCCTGGTGGTACAGACGCCTGTAGTCCCAGCTACCCAGGAGGCTGAGGCAGGAGAATTGCTTGAACCTGGGAGGCGGAGGTTGCAGTGAACCGAGATCACACCACTGCACTCCAGCCTGGCGACAGAGCAAGACTTTGCCTCAAAAAAAAAGGGAACCCAAGAAAACCCTAGATGTGGGATTAAAGTCAAATCCCAAAAGACGGAAAATTACATTTTCAAATATAGCTCTGTACAGTAGAAGTGGTGCCTACCAAGGAAGATACCCTGTGGGCTACGGAAAGCTTATTTGCAGTGAAGAAGTTAGAAAGGGAGATGGCCCAGTTCACGAGCATCAGTTAGTCTAGTTAGAGGCTTGGACACACATACACCTGTGCCACCTGCCAACAACGTCCAAAACAGATTTCTTACCAATGCAGTGGCGCTCATCTGTATCCAGTTGGAAGCCGAATGTGCATTTGCAACGGAAACCCAAACCATCATTATCTGTTCTGTGGCTGAGGACACAGACCTGCTCACAGCCTCCATTGTTATCTTTACATGGATTGGTAGCTGGAGGGAAAAATGTACAGGGATAAATTGCAATTAGAAATGTGTAATTATCTAAGAAATGAAGCTACTTCTAACCCTTTTCACCTATAGTTGAAATAGAGTAATGAATTAGCAATGCTTTGAAAACATCACTGACTGGTTATTACTAAATACATCTGCATCTGGCTATAGTAACCCTCCCAATTTTACTGCTGCTCCCCCATCCACTCTCCAACTGATGGTGGCAAAAGAAAGGAAGGAAGGAAAGAAGAGAAAGAAAGAAAGACAAAGAGAGGAAGGAGGGAAGGAAGGGAGGGAGGGAGGGAGGGAGGAAGGAAGGAAGGAGGGAAGGAAGGGAGGGAGGGAGGAAGGGAGGGAGAAAGGAAGGAAGGAAGGAAGGAAGGAAGGAAGGAAGGAAGGAAGGAAGGAAGGAAGGAAGGAAGGAAAGAGAAAGGACTCCTACAACTGTCCCCCCCAAAAATTATGTCAGAGTATGTCTCCTATCCTCCATGATTAGAAATAACTGTCAAAAATACCCCACACTTCACCACTTTTTTGCCATTCATAGGATATAATAAATATTACTCACTGGATGCTTACTTTGTAAGTAAACCAACTTAATAACCAATAGCTCTAAGAGATATTAGTCCTCTAATTTTACAGAGGAGGAAACCAAGAATCTAACAGTTAAACAACTTGCCCAACATTATTCAGCAGCTAAACAGCTTACCTAGGATTCAAAGCCAGATCTGATTCCAAAACCCTAAATGTCTGCCACACAAACCAGTTTATACTTCCAAAAGCCACTCTTAAAGTAGTGACCTTAAGAAGGTCACACTGCACAGTACAAAGACTGCCACAGCTAGAAATTTTATATCTGCTTTTAAGATTGTCTTCTTAGCCTTTGAATTATCCTTTAAAATATTCTCTTTATCTTCTTAGATGGATTGATTTGGGGACACAATAGGCAGATGTCATTCTCAGCCAAATAATACAAATACTCATTTGAGTGAACACATTGATCATCGATCTAATGGATCTAATGTGAGGGCAAGTCTAAGTTTAATAGTTGTGAATTGAGTGTAAAAACTATTCCAAATAGGTATTTCCAAAAATGTTTTCAGATAAAATATATATTTTCAGATAGGTATATATTTTCCCAGGATGATGACATTGAAGGATATTCATCTAAATATGTCAGTT